AGAAGATCTTTGTTGAGTTGGAGGCCAGCCTGGTCTACATGATGAGTTCCATGCCAGGCAGGGGTGCATAGTAAGACCCTGTCTCAGAAACCAAAATAAATAAAACAATGGAAAAACAAAAGAGACAGTAAAATATTTCCAGTCTATATTATTATTGTTTATCCCATGATATAAAATGTGCATATGTGGGAATGAGAGACAGAAAGTGTCCGTGGAGAGTACTCTGCTCTTCTGAATTTTCCAGTTAGAAATTCCAAGCATAATGGTTTCAGCAGGGCACTCCCTAGTTGAGTTTTGGGGATGTTTGTAAACCTCCAGTTTGATGGTATTACCTTTCCTTTGCTCTTCCAATCAGGCTACTTAAGTTGCCTCTCCAGGATGTTCTGAACACTCAGGTTGATGATGTTATCTATCTGATGCTTCTCTCTGCTACTCACTGAATAAAAAAATGAGGACATGACTGCTTCTAGGTATGATGGAGAAGGCTTATTGTAAATATGGGGGTGATTTCAGCCATAGGCATCTGGAAGGGTCCACAGTGAACTGGGCCATGAGAGGAGGTGGGGTGCTGTGAGAGAGGAAGGAGAGAGAGAGAGAGAGAGGGAGCAAAGAGTACTTGGAATCCAGAGACCAAAAACACCAAGAAACTGCATGTCCAAACTGGCTGATTACATAGGGGTCAGACTGGGGAAAGGGAAGAAGCAGCCCTGCCCCGGGAGGGAGAGGTAAGGGTAAGAGTGGGGTGAGGAATGCTGGAGGAACCACAAGTACTGAGTGAGACCTCACACTCCAACCCTTTGTTGATGATAAAGGACTACTTCCTGCTGAAACTGGGGCATCAGTGTTGGGGTGGGGGCAGGAAGGGTGGAATGTTGGTCAAATCCAAGAAGGGAGAGAGGAGGGTCATAGTAAATAGAGGAGTTGCCCACATTGTGGGACCTTGGGGTTTAGGAGGCTTGAGATGCCCACAGAGGGCATAGGTCACTCCAGGAGGTAGAGAGAGGACATTTACTTTACTGTGTTCTGCTTGCATGTGTGCCTGCACATCAAGACAGGGCACTAGACCTCATTACAGATGGTTGTGCGGTGAGCCACCATGTGGTTGCTGGGAATTGAACTCAGGATCTCTGGGAGAGAGCAGAGTCTCTCTTAACCTCTGAGCCATCTCTCCAGCCCGACACTTTACTAACACAAATAGGCAAGAAAAGGCAAATGGTTAGAGCAGGTGGAGGCAAGAAGCAGCTAAAGAGGTGGACTCTGTCTAGAATTTGGAGTCAAATATAGTTGTGGTAGAAGCCAATAGAAACAAGTGATATGTACTTGCCTTAGGGGAGTCGGATCAGGAGCTTGGTTCAGAGAAGCTGAGTCCCGTGGAAGGGATCCCATCTATGCCATGTCTGGGTTTTAGCACCAGATGAATGAAGAATAAAAATGAGGACATGATCACTCCTAGGTATGGTTGAGGAGAAGGACTTCATTGTAGATATGAGGGAGAAAACAGCCAGAGCATCTGGAAGGGTCCAGACTAAACTGGGACATGCTAGGAGGTAGGGGGAGGGAGAAGAGAGAGAACAAAAAGAGTACTTGGGAACCCAGAGACCAAGAGCACAAAGATAAAAGGGCCAGGGGACAAAATGGCTGAGATTTTATGGGAATCAGGGAAGCTGGGGGAGGGGACGTCCAGATCATTCCCTGGGCTAGAGAGTTCAGTGTAGGAGGCTGGGTATGCTAGCCAGGGTGACTAGAACAGGTACTGAGAGATGCTAGGGGAGCCTGCAACTAGAATATACTTTGGTATGTTAAATAGCCATTTGTCCCGAGTTTGAGGCCTAACATCCACGATTCTTTTGCTTAAACTTACTCATTTGAAATCAAAAGCATGGCTATCACTTTATAGACTGATAGAACAATAATCTTGACTTCTAATCTTCCTCCCTCTATCTCCTGAGGGCTGGAATTACAGGCACATGTTACCATGCCCTACTTTATGCAGTGCTGGGGATTGAACTGTACATTCTAGGCAAGTACTCTACCAACTGAACTCTACTCACAACCCCATCCTTACTTATATTTAGGTCTTATTGGGACAGACTTGGGTAGCCTGGTCTGGTCTCAAACTCACTATGAAGCTGAGGCTGACCTTGTACTTCTGATTCTCCTGCTTCCTTTTCCACCTAAGTATGGGATCTAGGGTTTTATTGTGTGCTAGGCAAACATTCTGCCAAATAACCCGTACCCCAGGTCCTCACTGGGTTTCTTTAACTTGGCACGTTGCATTTATGGCTAGACCTTTCCTGTGCATTTCAGGATGCTTAGCAGTATCTCTGGCTTTCAGAAGCAAAATACAAGTAGTGTTGTATCACCACAGCCTCATATCTCCAGACATGGGCAATTGCTCCCTAGAAGATAGAACTGTCCCCATGTTGAGAACCACAGATACACACACACACACACACACACACACGTACATTATATATATAAAATATATAAATTCATTTGCTTTTATTCAGGACACGGGAGTAAACAATACTAAAAATGTAGGACTAGCATCAAATGTTTGAGTCCCAAACATAAAAACCAGGGACAATGGTTGTGGCCTTCCCTGCTCCAAAGAGAGATGGATATTGGTAAGATGATTTAGCAGGTGAAGGGACTCAGCACCAGGCCCGATGACCTGAGTTTGATCGCCCAAACCCACATAGTAGAAGGAGAGAATCAACTCTCACAAGTTGTCCTCTGCCTCTTGGGGTGCTCCAGGACATGTTAGTGTGCATGCCCTTGCTCCTGCTAAATAAATAAATGTAAAATAAAATAAATAAAACATAAACTAAAACAGCCAATATCCAGAGCCTGCCATGGAGATGCATGCCTCGTCACAGTGTTTAGGAGGCTGTGGCGGGATCATGGTGAGCGTGAGGCTAGCAGAAGCTAAGGAGGGAGACTTTCAAAAAGCCAGCAAAAACAAACAAACAAAAAAGACCGCCCAAGTGCCCAGGAGCAGTTTCCTGTTTGCTGTTGTGGCGAGTGTGACGTGATGTAAGACGACAGGCACATTGTCTTGCAGCACCTCAGAGATGAAGACAGCGTGTGTTACTAGGGAAACCAAGCACGAGATTCAAGATGGTGACTTCCATTCACCTGGAGACTGTACTTTCTTCAGCTTCTCCTGAAATTGTCGCTCTTCTTTTTATAGTTTTCAAAATTCTTTTTTAAAAATATTTTTATTTGAGCCGGGCGGTGGTGGC